AAGAGTTTCATCCTAGAACATCTGCGCAGAACATGAAGCCAATTTCGCGCATTTTTTTGCGCCTGGAGGAAAAGCTTTCTTTCTTTTTATAGAGCGCTAGATTAAATTGATCTGTAGTAAATCGACGGCAATAATTTCTTTCTCATTTTTCGCCGTCGAAGACTGCCGCATGAAGGTTTACGAATGTCAACGAGGTCATCTAGACGCCATCCGCGCTGATATACAGTATGGTCAATGTCAAAATATTGTCCTCTGAATAACTGTGCTCAGCGTGTTTCGTACAACAAACCATGTGTAAACTATATTAATATAATATAAAGCTTTTTGTTGAGTATCTGCCCCTGCTGTTCAGGTTGTTGTTGTTTTTGTTTGGCGCCTCTGTAGTTCTTGTTGCGGAAGTCAGACTTCATTGACATATATTTTGGTCTCTGAAATCAGAAATGGCAAAAAGAGCGAAGATGAAAAGCGGCGGAAATAGGTAAGAAGCGAGAGGGGCAAGGAAGGCACAATGAACTACTAAAAACTAAGCTGCCGGCATAACCGACCATTAGATGACCCCGGTGGCGAAAACTTGAAGGAATTTAGTTGGTGTGAACTCTCAAGACAGGTCACTGTTGCCATTACAGTGAAATCTCACCTTCAGCAGCTATCCAACCTATGGAAGAAACGGTTAGGTTAGAACTGCTGGGGAAACAAATGGCCCAAATTCGAGGTTATAAAAAATAATCGGCCCTCTATGTTACACAGGTAAATACAGCAAAACAGGCGCCAAAGCTCGCAGGTGGCGCCAAAGCTCGCAGGTGGCGCCAAAGCTCGCAGGTGGCGCTCCATGACTTTTCTAAAAATACATTTTCACATAGCTGCTTGGTGCTATTTTGTTTACTATGTTTTGCTGATGCTCTATTTAGGTAAATTTCAACTACGATTAGTGAAACAATTGACACTCGAATAAGATAACCGGTATCAATGCGAAACTGAACAAAAACATTCTCTAAGATCTTCGCTATATTATCGGTAAAAGTATGATTTTGTTTAAATTCTTCTTTTTTTCTCTACAGTATCATTCAGTTCATAGGATTTTACCTTTTAAGAAAACGTTGCTATCTGCTAGATAAACTGTTTAATTCAATTATTTTTCCTTATTTTTCGCAACATAAATATAGAATTAACGTTGGACAATCTTAATAATGAAGATTAAATCGTCTTCGTGGCACAGACGTTTATCGTATTATCATTGTTGTCATACTTTATAGGCGTCAGCGGAATGTCGTGTTCTTATGCTTGTGCTTGTGCTTGCGAATCTTCATAGACTTCACCTAAAGAAGAATAATAAAATGGCATTTAATACTCGAGGACACCTCGTAACACCTAATATTTGTTCATTTCAGATATAAACTAACTATAAAGAGCTGTTTTTGTTGTCAAAGAATCGCATTACTTCTATCTCGCAGACACCTACACAGATCGAAAAATCTTCCATCGTCAGAATATTATTAATTGCTCGAGTCTTCAGTTTCGCAGATGAAAGTAGTGTGAGGCTGATGTTATTTTTTCTGCTCTGTACTAGTCATCAGCTAATTTTCAGCAACTTATTCTTGGGGTAATGTGCTAACTTTGAACAGGGTTTTTCATGGTGATCTACACTTAACGGGAATAAGATGACGAACTTTTTCTTCTTCTGTTTAGTTTTACTTCTGTCTGAAGCGGTTCAAACATGGAACATCGACGAAATTGCTTGATCGCTTTCAATTTCAGTCTTAACTATCCATGTCGCCTGAAGCACGGCAGCCAAAAGTCGACTATTAAAGCTTTGGATAACGGTACGAATACGTATCATAATCAATTCACTGGATTACTGTATAGATATTAACTGCCGGTCTGCCAGCTCAAGTACTATTTGTTACTATTTCAGAATAAATAACTGGGGAACGTTACAGAGGTATAAGAACGCGGCGACCAGGTGACTTTTTGTTTCTCCGATGTCGACAGACCTCCGAAGTGGAGCTGCTACGTTCTGTTCCGGCCAAACAGCGTCACCCATGCTTAATATATCCATATGAAATTCTCCAGTACACCTTGATAAAGGTAACGACACAAACTGTTTTGGTCGTGAAACGCGATTTCCCTAATACTATACCGGAAACTACGTGTTGTCATTGAACGTTCGACTGTCACTTAGGCCACGGCTTCCTTAGGCTGGCCTAAAAAATTTTACCATACTGTCAGATATTAACGTGCTTTCTACGGTCATCATGGTAACCTTTACCGGTGCTAATTGTGTGAATATCCAGTCCAGAAACGAGGTAATCGTGCTCAACAAGGCTGACCGTCGTGGAGCGTGCAACGCAATAAGGAGAAACTGATCAGCGAACTGTGGTCAAATATCTATATATGTATACGGCAGGCAGTCGCCCCTTGATGTGCATACGCGCCCTTAGTGGCATTATCAAACTGATCATGTTCGTGCAGCTAGATTTGTAAAAAGGCCGATGGTAACAACATTGCGACGTGTAGCAAGCAACGTACGAGGACAGCACGTATGTCTACTACACCTTCGACTAGCGAGCGTCCTTTTTGCGCAAAACAAAGTCATATTCATATGACATAAACTGCGTCAGCAAATATTAAGCAAGTGATACCGATGGTCTACTATTCAGCGTGGTGCTGACAGCAGGTTTCGTTATAGTGTTTTATAAATTACGTGTTACAGTAGGAATATGTCTTTGTATTAACAGGTTCCTGTGTTTAATGGCAGCATCGGATGAAAGACTCAATACGCTCCAGGTCGTAATTGTACCGTACGGCCTCGTTTCCATGATGTTTTAGAAACTAACCACGCTTCGCACTCGTAACGATCTTCATTAAACCGAGTGGAAATTGAAAGCGACCTTCGGCTATCCGTTGACGAAGTATCGAATACCTTTAACTACGATACCCATTTGTAGCCGTTGTACAAGGAAACTGCTTGAAAAACATCTTCGACGCACAGTCTTCATTATTTTGAACACTTTCAGGCGGGAACCTCGATTGAAAATGCGAAGTGGCGTCCCTGACGAATAACCGAGTATCGAATAGTTCTACAAGAAAAACTGTTGTTGATTTTGCGAAGTGTACTAGGCAATATAAGCAGGCAAAAGATGATGCTCTTTCTTACTGAGCAAAACGCCTATCGGATTGATAATGGTTCGCTGGTCGATCTAGAACACAAAGTGAAAAAAACGCTGACCGAGAACTTTAGCAAAGATTCTATTATAGTTAAAGATACTTATCTCTACACAACTCAAGGAAAGCAGATATCAGTCTACGACGTAATCACTGATGTTGCAATACGTAGTCATCATATGCAATCTCACAAAGGTTTCGGCATTATAAATCTAGCAGTAAAAAAGAACTGGGCATACTGCACAGCTGGTCACGACATCTACCGGGTGAAGCCTGATGGCTTAAGTAAAGTCGCCTCTGCAAAACATCCCGTGACTCGATGGGCTGTGGTCGAAAAAAGTAAGGATAAATTAGACTTTTACTACAGCTCCAAGGAAAACAATCTATGTTATTTGGCAGCGTTTGCTGAACGTAAACGAATGTCTGAAAAACCCTTAAACAGAAAAATGCATGGCAGCGTGATCGGTGCTCATGAGGGCGCTGCGTTCGTTTGGACGGCCAATAAGCAATTAATCGTGTACACAAGTACCGCCAAAGCTATCCAGGGCTATATATTTAACGAAACCCCTATAGATTACGCAAGTTGTGGTTCAAAGGTGTATATCCAATTTGAAGGTCGTTTCAATATCGTAGACACCAGCACCCGCGCTGTTAGCACAATTTCTCCTATACCGAAAGCAGGACGTTTTGTTTTGTGGGAAAACTGCCCAGTCGTCTGCTAAACCATAAAGTATATAACATTTAACAACTAAATTAAATAAGATGACATTTAATATATTCTTCATTATATGTAACGGTTATCCGTAAGTAACTCAGTCTAAGCAGAAAACAGATCACATTGGTACCATTACACAATAGGCTAACTACATCCAGAGAAGGTCATCGAATCATGGTCTTGGAAAAACCATGCTTTTATGGTATGTGCGTTATGGCATTACTGGTTCGGAGTTTCCATCGATTAATTCCAATGACTCGATTACTTGCTCGCTGCCACAACTAATCAACGATGCCATATACAAATATGGAGAAAAACGGTTATCTCCCAGGCGCCATAGAATTTAGCGTTTTCGGGCCAACAATTCTTACTATGATCGATTATTTAAAAAAAAAAAAAAAAAAAACGCGATGTTCTTCGAAGATGAGCAGATATGTGTTTTTATGTTTCAAGAAATTTAGTAATAAATTGGAAACTTTTAAACAAGCAAGCCTAATAATTTTTGTTGTGTTCCAACTGCACAGGTTGAATACGCATGGAATTCATATAGAGATCTGTCACAGCGATTTCAAGACCTATTTGTTCCGCTATATCGCATTTTATTAGCAGTAGTGGGTGTACAGTTTACGATTTACTTTGTTAGGTATATAGTTCTCAGTAGTTTGAAGCGATCTGGTCATTAATAGTTCTATTTGGATGGTTAAATTACGACCGACGTGTGGCCATTCATATACGGACCACATATAATTTACTACCTGGTGCATCTTTACTACAAGCATAACTAGCTAGCCATGATTATTTGAGTCTACAATTTATTTGGGCCTTGAAAACTAAGAGCTTTTTAGGATCTAAAGACTGGTCAACTGGGCAGTGAATTAGGTAGGTGCGAAAGATAATACTGCGATGCCCTCTAAAGCTTTATATTTATAAGAGACAAAAAGGTTTTTCCAAGCTTCACATATATAAGCATTGTCGAATTAACGCATACTAGGTGGCTTGAAAAATAAGGCCAATAATTCCAACTTTTACCTTAGTTTTTGACTGTGTGTGGGTGACACTTTCGACCAGTTTTTACTATTATAACTAACAGTTTATCGCTAGATGTAAGTTAAAGATATCTTAATAACTTCAAACATAATTTCAATATATTTTTATAAAAAAGATGTTTTAATCAATTTGTATTAACAGTGCGTTGGAATTTTGGGAACCTATTGCTTAGTTCACTCTCATCTGTAACTTCCCACAAATTATTACTACACGGATGAAGTATGAAGAGGTGGGCTTATTTCGAAAATTCTTCGAATGAAGCGTGTCCACCAAAAATTCTGTTTGCTGTAAAATATGCATCTGCAGCCATCATTGAAATTTGGTATGCTATTGACGGCGATGTTGTCATTGTAGATAATCTTTTGATACTGAAAGTAGCTTTTAAAAGTAGGTTTTGGTGAGCTGTCAGATATCATTCCTCGTCTCTATTGAGACCTTCAAACTGAATTACTTAAAATCCTCATTTTGGTTCAACTTTGAAATATACCTTTCAGTACAATTCTAACCAACGAAAATGCTTATAAAGTCAATCTAAGCCCGGTGAAGGATATACTAAAAAAACGCGTTGAAGTCCAATCTTCGTCAGAAGCGGTGTGAAATAGCTATAAGTGATTCGGCGAACCACGAACGGGGTAGCTATGCGGAAATGTGCTCCTTCTCGTTTGAGTGCCCACGTCTCCCAGACAATCCACCTTCAGCGGTTGTCAATGGGCAGGCATAAGGAGACATCTCAATACATATAGATCTCGCATTGAGGCGTCTCCTTAATGAGCTTCCAAAAGACGACGTAGCCGTTCCAAACGCGTATCTCCGATTCTTGCACTGCCTGCAGTAGAAACCAGTTTATCTGTCAGAAGGCTATTCTCTCTATTGTACACTCCTTGCAAAAGATTGGCCGTAGGATTTTTCTGATGTGCTTTACAATCAATAATGCCTTAAACCTAAACAAAACCCCTAGTTCATTCTCCCAAACATTTGCCACTTTCACTCTGAAGGAAAATAAGCTTCCACCGTATACTTCACTACCCACATATTGTCGAGTAGAACAAAAAGTACGTCATAGCCTCCTACTGACAATAATAAACCCTCTTACCCCAAACACGACCATCTATGGAGAGCCTCATCTAAATGGGCCAGTTTATTTCCGGCCAGTCATTCTGGAAGAATTTGTGCGGCGCCTAAAGGCAAACTATCTTCTAATATGACTGCAGAAGCTTGTTAAAGAACGTGGCATATGATTTTTTTGCTTCAAGACACCCCTGACAACCTACCACTTCATTATACCTCGACATCAGCGTGCTCAGGTGGCTTCAGTTAAACATATCGTTCCTTGTCTAGAAATGGAGCTTATACATATATATATATATATATATATATATAAGCACTGCAGACGTCTGTGAAGTATCTTTAAATGCATATCATTCAACTTGCATCTATCTGATGCGCATATAATAAAATGCTACCGACATAAAATGTCCTCTGGGATAAAATGGACGGTTTGATAAATATTTTTCGATGACAATAATAATAACCGTTATTTTTGTTATAGCTGGAAGCCTATTTTTTGCATTAGATGTAGGTCTACATTTTTTATCCCGTATACACGTCGAATATAAGCAGGTCCATTACCGTCAACCGAAAAACCTAACATTTGTCTCACGTATGGTGGATACACTACTGTGAAGTTGTGATTAAGCTAAATTAATAGTAGAGGTAACTTTTATTCAAATGCTACGACAGGTCATTCTATTGTCAGCGATTTTTGGCAATTACTTGGCAGCTTTTCTAAAGCGCTCCATTGTCAAATTGGCTTGTCAGCTCCTTTCTTTCATTCATTATTCTTAAGTTCGCCTTTCTCGAAGATTTATATCTCACTATTTACTCTATGAAGACCGTTTTTCTCTTGAGGACACTTTTTAAAAAATATTCAGATCAAGCTTGGAATTTTATAACTAAAACGTGCCTTGTTTTTGGAACTATTGTATCAGCGTAAAGTAAAATTGCCGTACCAAATACGAATGGTACCAACAAGCAAATTGCTACGATTAAGAATGCTTCCTTTCGCTAAAATGTTCCGTTTGTATTCGGTGCCGATCGGTCCCTTTAATATCAAATAACTTTCAGTTTGCGGCTATGTTCTCGTTGCGTGTAAATACAGTTCATTATCAATAGTGTTAAAAAAAACAGGTGTAATTTTGATTTAGTCTCTATTAAATTGACAGTTGTATACTGGTCTGCTTGAAAGTGTATTCAACCTTTTTTCTACGAGCTCTTTTTCTATGAGCCATTAGTTAAGCTTGGACTTTAACGCTAATGGTGCACATATCATGGCTGGATGAGACAATCTTCACAATTAAAATAGTCCTTTTTGAACTAACTTCTACCGGGTGCAACAGACACATATCAACGTTTTTTCCAGTGGTCAAAACATAATCGTCGGTACAATGCGGTAAGATCTTCTTGTTTGTTCTATCCTTCTTTCTATCTTTTTTTTCTTAGACTTCTGTTTTAAGTTTTAAGAAACGAAAACATCACGCAGGACTAGGGCCGAAAATAGGAGCAACATACATCAATTATTTTTAGCAAAAGCGGCTGTACGAGTAGTGAGTGAAGGAGCCGGTGCATTGTCGTGATGGAGAACTGAAAGCTCGCCAACACTCTGGTCTCTCGAGGGACTCACGCAGTCTTCTTGAAACATCTAGCCAGTACTCGTGGATCCGGACACTACAGCTTCATAATGAACGATCCTTTAACGGTCGAAGAAAACAGCGAAGAGCGTCCCGTTTTCGTCTGTGATCGCTGCCACAGGGCTTTAAGGTTCAGGATTGTCTTTGATGAACCTTCATGCGTCTTCAAAACGCTTGAACCAGCTTTTCATTTAAGCTTTACTTAGCGTTTGATTTCGACATTTTGCAACGTTCGTAGAGTGCCTATGCAACTGAATTTTTCTACACAAAAACTTAATGCACGCTTGTTGCTTTCTTTGATAAAATTCGGAGAACGTGCAATGCAGGACTATTTAATCTCACCGGAGAACTCGGAATCGGGAGCTAGATATTTCCACAGCCTATGTTATACTTGTGTTTTGTATTCGCATATGCAAAACGTAAACGCCGTGTCTTTCAACGGATGGTCTTCAAATGGTTTTGATGTCTGAAGCTACATTTAACGGCAGACGTCAAACTGAGAACATTTGTTTAAATCGTTTCAACACATAGTACAGTCATGTGACCTGTTTATGAAAGCCTACCAAAGCTCTTAGCGTAATAGAACTTCTTTTGCGAACTATTTTCAGATTTAAATGTATAATATATATATATATATATATTGCAGTGAAGTGCAGAAGATTTGTAAACTACAAAGAAGCTTGATTTAACTTTAGAATGTTAGAACCTCCTATTAAATATTTTTTTTATTATCTCTTCAGTTTTCGGAACTGATTTTTAGATAGTTATCAATTGAACTATTTCTGTTACTTCCCCCTTAGAGCCACTGTTACGGCTTTGACGAGGTTTATATAGCACTAAATGAGCAGCATAAACAGTGGTAGTAATTTCTTTATATATAGTTAAACAGAACAATGGATGTAGCTGGTCGATTGTGGATAGATTTTTTTAATAGGTGCATAAATACGTTCGCTATAAAATTCAGGAAGTGTTTCGCGGACAGAGATTGTTTCCACTTGTCGATGAATATTTGGCTGTAGATACAAATGAGTCATGTATATAAATTTTCATCTAAAAGTACCGTTTTTAGATTATCGATACGATCAGAGCATTAACTTATTATACAACAACTTTCTGACTTACGTGATAATCATGTTGCCTAACCTGTGAAGTGAAAAAAATTTACAGTTGCTATTTGTGCCAATCATTGGCTAATTATAGATTCAAGGCATCTCAGAATCGAATTGATGACCCAATGCTTCATGACTTCAGGTAACGTACATTTGAAGCGACTTTAAGGATAGATCTAGCGAGTAGGCAATTTACTAAACAGTTGTCGTTTTTTGATAAATGTGCCAGGATATCAAGATACGTGTATTAGTTTACTATAACAATAGTCCATTATAGACAGGTCCTAAAAAACGTTTATATATAGCAGTACTATGCTACGAAGCAAGCGGGAATTAAGTCTTCTCCGAACAATATGGCGTTCCAGTACTTGCTAGATCTACTATATCGAGTTATAGAGGGCTTGCCGCTTGTAATAGATTGACAGCCTAGCTTTAACGTTTCTTTAATACCTAGCTAACTTAAATTTATGTTTTTGATAAGAATAAACTTCCCAAAACTTATATTGAGCCTATTTTGAATAGCCGAAGGCCATACTTGGAAGTTAACGCTGTCCTAAGCATTGTAATTCCAGTGTAAACAGTTTGTATTGTTTTGTATTGTATACCACTTTGGCTGCGTGATTAGATTTCTTAGAAGCTGAGGCTGGTTTGTGGATTTGTAAACAGATAGCGTATAAGCTTCAATGGGATGCGTGCCTAGGGCTACCTCGTGAAATAGGTCAATTCCGGACATTTGGAAACCTTATTTGAAACTTATTTAGTTATGACCTAATATACAGTGTGTAGCTCTGGAAAGCATGATATGCATGTCATATAAACTTCGTTGATCGAAAAAGGTAAATATAACTTTGTGGTTATTAAGTGTACTTCATTCTCGTGTTAATGCCGAAAAAAGTGTGCTAATATAGAATTTTGTATTATTTGAGACGCTTTTAACTAATTATAATGCTGTCCAAAAAGTCATCCACCGAAATTACTTGTTTCGCGCGTTTCGGCAAAATCAAGGAAGTATATATACATATATATATATATATATATATATATATATAGGTTTGCCCTATAAATGAGCATGAAAAACGATCGTTTTAAATATATGGGAATGCCGTTCTATCAACACACAAAACATAGTTGAAAATGTTCCGAGTAAGAATTTTTTAACCCGTCCAACTATTTTTATTATGTAAACAAGTTCTCGGAATCACTTACTTTTTTGCTAATGGCATGGTAATCATACGCTATGATCAACATCACAACGCACATAAAGAGAAGTGCATTAGCCCTCTTAATTACACGACCAAAAGAGTGACCACTCCATAGCAAAGTACTGCACTAATATACAAACTAATAAAATGCGCCTTGATCTAACATCTAACATAACTACTATTTGTAACAACCGGCCATCGTACCTGAACTCTTACCGTCGCTATTTTAGCTGTCCGCCCGTACCACAACCGTACCAATCCGACTAAAATAAATGTCGACAACAGATATGTGACCTTTAAAACTACCACACGTTATTTTTATTCGCCGCTTTGTCGTTTTGAGCTTTTTAAGCCGGCATCTACGATCAGGCTAAAGTCTCTTTTGGGGTCTGCTCGTCGACCAAAACGGTATTCGATTTTGATTGTTTTAAAAACGAGAAACTTTCAGTATTTCGCATCCCTTCCGCCGTTCCTAAGCGCAAAGCTCACTGCAAGGCTCAGCGTATTCTCGCCGTAATTGTTTGTTGCCCTTGATCATGGGTGGCGCGGAGGAAAAGGCGAAAAACCGACTAAAAGAAGGGCCGATGAATTCGCGTGACGCTTTCTCAGTCGCCCACAGGAAAAAGCTTAACGCATCATAATAGTAGTCTGCGTCTCTATAAAGTATCCAAATTTGCTATTAAAAATTCATTAGTTAAGGATCCATTTCAATCGGCGATAAAGCTTTACGGATGGGCTACGGGTTTCCAATGCCATCAGATTCAGATAAGCAACTTCATGCAACAGTAGATCGAATAAATTCATTGATGGCTGAACTAATTCATTTGACTTGCACCCTGTTACCTGCAGGAGAAGACCTGGTCATTGTTATCACCGGCAACCCACCTTCCACGATAAGGTACCACATAGAAAAGTATATTTTTAGTTGAAAGTATATCCTGCTTTGCAAAAGAAGAGACTCCACGAGATGCCTCATATAAGTTGTTTAGGTAACCAATTACACCATTACAGAATTTTAGCGACAACGAAGAAATGAATGATTTGATGTTCCCAATGTGGTATAATGAACCAATTGTTTTTCAATGTTAGCATAAAAAAAATGTACTAAACTAGTGTTTGTATCGATTACTACAGTTGAATCTATTTGACAATCGATCGAAATGCTATCTTTCGTCAGCTGCAGTAAAACACCACAGCTTCCTTGTGAAGTTATCAGCTTTCACGACTCTCTGCACTTTACAGGCTTGAGAAAGATGTTGAATAGAAATCAAATATACGTATCACCAGCGAATATTAAACATTCATACTGTAGCTTATAGAAAAAAAAATTCCTACTTTATTCTATTTATATCGTTTAATGAAACCGTTGAAGCGCTACGTCCTCGGGTGCTATATCCTTATTAGCTTTATCATTATTTGCTGGGTCTTCAGATAATGATGCAACCTGTATGATGGGCAAATAGGAAAGATTCATAGTGTTCGAAGGTCCTGGTTTATCTGAAGTTTTTAGCTTACCCAAGAATTCCATATTCTTTGATCGCCTTATTTTACTGAAGGCCTTTGTTTATCGAAGAACCTTTAATTATGCGGCGGATCTCGTTCATCTGAGAAATATAACTGAAGAATATATAGTGCTTAAGAAACCAGGCGTGAACGACTTCCCTAACTGAATAAAAGAAACTGGTTCGTCTGTCGGCTTTGTTTCATCATCTACGATCCATATTCTGACAAGTTCTGCACCTGCTGCAGCCCCATAAACGTTACTGCCCCAGCTGACAGAAAACGCGAGATCTGTGGCCGACGCCTTGAACTACAGCGGCGATGAAATCCCCGCTGTCCTTACCGCTCCAAACCCGAAAGTCGGCAACGCAGCAAACTACAGCTGCGACCCCCCCCCCCCTCTCCGCCCCCAAAAAAACACCTCCAGTTATCTAACATTGCGTTTAGAACCAATATGAAGGACGCTCAACAAACTATTATTAAAAGAAGGCGCATTTTGTAAATGTATTTATATATGGAAAGCTTGCTGGCGGCGGCGACAACATCTATATATACCCATGTAAATTTTTCTTAGTTTAAACTATACAAAGATGATTAGTGCGATAAGCAAATGCTTGTACTTGTCATGTAACGAAAGAGCTCTGGAGTTTTAAGGCAGTGATTCCTATGTTACATCATAAAAATCAAATGTCGTGTTACAGGTTTACCGCTTTAAAACAATTCTTAGCTGTCATCATTGTCCGAGGTTGTTCTCAAGTCTTAGCGGTAGCTACGAAGTCTAAGTCGTCGTTAAAGGATCACATTGCTGACTGAGTGCTTTCATTATTTCAATAGCAAAAACCGAGCAGATTGAGTCTTTTACAATTATTGCATTACAGCGGAGGGATCGGACTTAAAAATACTCTGGGTTACTGTCAGCAACAACAGATCGCTATGGCGTTAAAAGAAAACACGGATTAAGGGTATTGTGTTAAGGATATCGGACAGCTGGTTCATCAGAAATAACTGATCTGCTAGAGAAATCTGGCGGGACAGAGGGTTCTTGTGTTCTGTCATCTAACGTTCGAAAATCTGTTGCGCGTATGCGAGCTGGATTATCTGAGAAGTTGATTTTTCATATTGAAGTCAATGGAACAAGCATTTATGTACCATATCAGTTAACAGTTGAAACAAACATGGAAGAAAATCTACCTGATTAAACAATGCTGGAACTTTTTTATTTCTATTAAAAGAGGATAAATAGGTATGACGCACAGTGAGAGAGTATGAATTTGTCGTCGCGAAAAATACGGACTATAATACTAAGGTTCGTTGTATAGTAGGACGAACCAGAGTGCAATTAGCTGAACGGTGCGCTGTTTCGTTGATAATTAGTTAAATCGGCTCACAGCTGTAGATCCCGGCTGAGTGTGATCCGTTACGGTAAGTTGGGGCATACTTTAATTCCTTGTCAAAGCTCACAAAGAGCAGGCCTACATTACGGAATATCTGTCGCGATATAAAAGACTATATATATATATATATATATATATATATATATATATATATGCCATTTCCCTTCGATGTTAGAATTAGCTGTTTTTTTTGCCAACAGGCCTATGAAAATAAATGATAACAATCTCTACACCCTATTGTTACGTTGCAACTTTACATATGATTAACTCAGTCATTTATCATAACTGTATAATAAGCTGGTACTCCCTAAACAATCAGCTGATTGCTCTTTCTTTGTCCTAAGCGCAAGCTGATTATATAACCTGAACACGCCAACGAAAATGCATTGGTTACGTTTAGTATGTCAAGACAGACACTGCAATTTTCGCATGCCCCAGGGCGAGACGACTTAGAGAAAGCGCATCTATTTGCATATTGTAATGTCCATATAAATTTGTATGGTGTGATTTATACGTGGGAACAACTAATTTTTGGGCACGTGCTTAAATGTAGACAGCAATATATTGAACCTTTTGAAATTCCATATTATCGGTCGTGTGAAAGACTAGTGCAGGTTCCACTGCTTGCCCACATGTCTCACTTGATTCCACTATAGTTTTATAATAGGAAGATTCTAACAAGATGATCTGTCTACTATACCCTGTGTAGATTCCGTCACTCATACAAAAGTCCATTTGCTCTTGGACACGAGAGTCCTATGGCTTTATTTGTGCGGCTGGCAATGTAGCAATCTCTGCACGATAGCTTCTCAAAAGTAATTGATAAACGTAGCCTTTGTAAGTGAGCCCCTATTGTTCGTCGGCTTAGTCCTGTCGAAACCCCTCCCAAGAGGGTTGCTAAAGCAAGCTACGTAGGCTAGTTATGATTAAACTGTACGCTAACAATGAACAGAGATAAAAATATCGAAAACGACACGATTTATCTTATGCTACTTTCTAGTGAAGTGACCAAATCGATTAAAGTAGATCATCTTGTTATCAGCTAAACGAATCGTTGATTACAGAGATACGCGTAACCATGTTCATCAATGTCTTCAATATCTTCACAGAATTACAATCACACATGAACTTATTTACGATCCATTAGTATAGACAGTAGATCAGCTTAATCATAACCGTCAACAATGTCTTGGAAATTCATGCTTTGTTCAGCACAAAACAAAATAGAGCTCCTGTGATGGTGTCGTGATAACGGGTTTGATTATTAAGTTATAGTGGTCTAGATCAGAATCCAACGGCCGACTAATCCGCTTTGTCTTGGGATATAGCCGTTTACAGCAGTGCTTAATTAAGGCAGTGTCGGACTGAAATAAAGGAAAAAAAAAAAGTAAACGAGATATATTATTGCCGTTTTTATTCGACAGAGCTCACGTCACGTCATTTTAATCTATGTGGGTATATATATATCACTTCGAGAATCTGGATCACCTCTTGGGATACTAGCTTGATAACGAAACTATGAGAAATATTATAAATTTCATTAATTCTACAATTCAACTATTGATACCAAGATAAACCAGTTAATAACTGTTCCCGCTAAAACAATTTCAAGTAAATTTAGGCAAAGATACTTAAGATGAAGACACTAGATAGGTGATATTGGAAAAGGAGAAGTACATAGAAGCTTCCAAATCGACCGCTGCTGCAGTCAGCATAATATTATATATATAAAACGTATACGCATTTTTTTTTGTGTTCTGAAATAGATGGAATTCCACTTTTTAAATAATTCGGTAAATATTGAAGCCAATGAGGGTAACTATTTGCAATAATGCGTAAAATATTAATAATAAGTACTATTAATAACATGATTGTAGATATTATTAATAAACATTACTTAATAAAACCTTTTAGAGCAGTATCACGCAGCGTCTTACCACTATCCTAGGCTGTAAATGACAAATTCTTTGAAGCCAGCACTTCGATGCTACATAGTTCGTCGAGTTGTTTAGCATTGTACAAATTAGTTACATCTAAGTATTTGCGTTGGCCAACACTTTTTAAGTTGTGTACAATAGCATTTACTAGAAGTGATGCCACGGCTGTTCCACGCCATAGTCTGAGGCATCTAAAAGACCATTATTTGCGGAACACTCACTTCGCTCGGAGACGTCAGCCCTACATTACGCTGTAACCGAAAAGATGATGCCGACGCAGATCGACGGCTTCATATATCTTCATTACAAAGCAGAGATAACCGGTTCTGTAGTTACATCAAGAGCAAGATAAACAACAAATACATTTTTATAACCTTGGAGCACCAATTTGCGACTTCTGCATCGGATTTGTCGTTCAGGATAATTGTTTGTTTGCTTATTTGTTCGACAGTTTAGAAGTACAGTATTTTTATGACAGGTGATTTGCCTAATTATACTCTCGCTGCCCACACAGGGATCTTTCGCAAAAAAAAAAAAAAGACAGGGAGTAGTAAAATTGTCCCCAGAAGGATTATACGAGCTATGTCATATTCAACAATGATTTGCCTCGTCGGGGAAACGTTGTACCTATGGTTGTCGGCAAAGGTTTACCCCTTTTACAATATCAGACAAATTTATTTAGCCTCATTTTTCTCTTGGCTACGGTACACACTCCAGTTATTCATGGGATAGTACGTTGCAAATTGCCTTTATGCGCTACGAAAAGGCTCTAATAGCAATATCGATGTGGGGTTTTCTGCTGGTTTTTGTGCATTCGCTACTTCAGAAGCCATTACACCGCATTATAAAACAATCAGTAATCACTTCTGTCACGAAATAGAATTATTAAACAACGAAGATCAGGGGTTTTTGTCACCCCCTCACACCGGGTGAGCAGACTCTGACACAGAACAAAATATTTGATTAAGAAAAGTTCAGAGCTCGGTTTCGTTAATTAATATTATGGATAGTTTGCGCTTCCAGTAGTAGCAGGGTACAGGGGTTCGCAAGTGTGTAACTATCGAGCATTTTTTCGTTATCGCAAAAATTGTAAGTGCTACGAAAAGAGCTCAAATGTTAAGTTGTGTGTCTTTATGATTGTTATGTATTTATTCAAAAGCATTAAAAAGAAATTAGGTTTCGATAGGAAATATTGAATCTTTGATGTTGAATATATACGTTTATTGCTCGATACTAAAACTTATGACTCCGTATAATTTCCGATATGGTCTCAGGATGACTATTTTTCAATAAAAGAACATCGTAGTAATATATATATGTACTTTATTAATTAATATAGGATTCCGATATGTCTTTTTAACAACGAGAATGTGCTACGCAAAGGGTCTGCCCTTGCCACATATTCTCAAATCGGAAACCTTTGCGTTTTCGACAAGCCCGACGAACATTCCCGGAAGTTTTATATATAAATATAACGAAAATACATGGTAATTTGTATATGGCGAGTCACATTCTGCTAAAACTCTTTTATTGAACGAAAGGCATTTTGTTGTTACAAATATAATATAAATATGTTACAAAAAACTATAACTAGTTATTTTTGTACAACTAGCGTTATCAATTTAAAATGATACTTTTATTAATTAGATATTCAATAGGTTAGCTTTTGCAATGGCAGCGCAGCTACTTATTTCATTCAAAAGCTTGTTCATTGTTAGGTCTGTTTAATTTAGGTTTGCAGAATAGCCTGTATAAAGCTGACATCTGTAGATACCTAGTAACGTACGTGTGAACGCTTACCTTAACAGTACGAAAAGTTTCCTGACTTTCCTAACATTTCTGTTTATCACTCCGATCCTCCTTACGGCGTCTATCTTATAATGTCGTACTAAGGCACGAATCGACGTTTTACTTGTGATCCTCCAAATTTCCGCTCTCAAAAGTAACGTCTTTACGCCTGGGGTATTGGTCCTTAAGTAAGAAATGCTAGGCTTTAAATAGGGGGCTTTATTTAAGAAAGGCATATTTTTGTCAAACGAAGAAGCACTGGCTTTACATTTGAATATTGCTAAACAATTCCGAAACACAAAAGCATGAAATCTGATTAGTCATTCAAGCGGACGGATTTTCTGCAGCCGTAATCTCAATAGGGTAAAATACTGACGACTTTAATTGCTATTTTCGAAAATTTAACTATGACTAACTGATACAGGTGAGTCCTAGACGAAAATAATGGTCAGAAGCTCTCTTGCCCTTTAAGTAAACGATGATGCAATGTAGCTTTTGTCTTATTTATTTCTAATTGTTTTACTTAATCACTCCTTCTTCCATTATAACTTATATAACAGGTTTACTTAGAAATACATTTTACCGATACTTGTTATTAGTATCCAAGAGAAATCGAGTTCCACCCAAACTCTAACTAAGTACACACATAGACAAATTATATTTAGATAGTCTAGGAATACTTTTATTTAAGATAAATACTTGACGTGCAAGAAGAACTTGCGTGTTGCCTTTCCCATAATATCGTACCTAGAGATTTTTACTGCTATTTATATCTTCACCAGTTCATCGTCATATACCGGTCTCTTTTCTGACGCTTTCTTTTTTCATCCGTTCTGCTTTTCACTTCATTTCGTTTTTCTACATTATTAATAATAATTATCTCATTGTTTATGCTATTATTATTATTACTACGTTATTAACAAGACCACCAGCAGTTTTATAGTATTACACATCGTTATTGTTCTTGAATTGGTGTCGTAATCACCAGGGGAGACGATTTTCCCATTGTCTCGTTTATTTTCGTATCATCATCGTAATTATTACTACCACCATCATGTTATTGTTGTTTTTATCATTACTATTCATCATTATCAGTTAGATTATTCCTTCTCTGTCATCGAATTTATTATTATAATAATATTGTTATTATTTATCATTATTATTAGTGTGCTTACCATATTTGCCCTTTTCTTATATATATATATCTATGTATATATTTATAGGTATGTGAATTTCCTTTTTTCTGTTCATGTATGTAACGTGTCTATGGCGTTTGCATGCAATAACTTCCCTTTCGCTCTCCGACGCGCAACATAAGAGTCTTTGAAGCTACTCAATACTCTCTGACGATCCGATGTGCTGCGTGACCCAGCATTGTCTAAGGTCAATGCGTAATACATGTATTGACCTTAGTTGCGTGTTTCTTTTAGCTTTTTCTCCTGTCAATCGTTGCCCCTTTCGAGCGAGTTAGTGTTCGCACATTTCATCTTTTAGATTTGCATTTTTT